TAAGTAGAAAAAAATTATGGATGGTGAGTGGGATATACTCAGTTTAATCATACTCGCTGCGCTGCTCTGGTACATACATATGTATATAAATGCGTTATATCAAATAAAATGTATATGATGATTGAATTAAAGTGAAAATTCAGTTAGTTCTATAAAAATTTAAAATCGTAATTAGTGGGTTACTTTTTATTTTGGTAAATACAACAATACTTATATTTTAGGCATATCACAAATGTCGTATAGATGCATATTTAATTTTACTGAACAAAATTATTGATGTTTTGTTTTTTCCCAAGTTTTGGTGCTTTTAAGAAAGTTGGTAGCCATGGGGTCTCACATTCGTGAGTACTCACACATACTTGTTCTCTCACTCTGATCACACATACAGATGCAATTCGCTCAAATTTTCTGCTTCCCCCGGGCATAATTACTTCATTTCTGGCATTTTGTCCGTATGTGCAGATTATATCCATCGCTACTCTAAAACAGGGATGGGCAGATTTTTGGCTCTTAAAGCCGTCAAAGAGCCGGCAAGTGCTACGCAAGAGCTAAATCAGTTATCAGGGTAAAGGTGTGTACAAAATACATTAAAAGCACCATATATATTAGTAATGAGAGTCGGAGTATAAGAAATTTGAATACGCTCTTCTTCCCCCCTTCATGCTGGCTCTTGATGTTACCCCTCATGTACCACCTAAATCTCCCAAGCCAGCTCCTAAGTGCAAAAGGCTCCTGGGAGCCACTTTGCCCATCTCTGCTCTAAAATATGGTATTCTTATCTTCTAAAATTCGGTACGGTTATCGGTATACAAATTCCTAACGGTGCCCGCTGTTCGGCGAGGTCGGCGCATGTTAGCCGACGCTTAGCTACTTTACGGCATCTGCACTCCTCCGTTGCTGTGTCGCGTCGACACGCTGTTGTTGGGCGACGTTGGCGTACCTCCGTCGCTGGACGATGTCAGCACTACTCTAGGGTATGGGCGCTCTGACTGCGCACGGCGTTAGCACTACTCTGCCGGTGCTCTTCTATCGAACGACGTCGGCGTTACCCTGGCTGCGCTCTGTGGTGTTGCGAGCGGGCAACGCCGCCACGCCGGTTTACGGTGGAGTGGCGGCGTTCTACCTTTGAATAGCCATGCCTGCTATAGTTGCCTGTTTACCAGTCAAGTGCTCTTCACTAGCAGCTGTGCGTTCACAACCACAATAGCCCAGCTTCGCTCTGCCTACTGGAGCAGGTTAAACTCAAACCTGAGCAGACTAAACGCAGATGTACCAAATGAGTTTCCGGCATGCGGAGAGACACCCCATGACTCGAAAGATATCTTGGTATGCCCGGAAAACCCGACAACTGTTGTAGTCGCTACAACAACAACAACAACAACAACTACAGCAGCGTCATCAACACGGCCAATCAATACAAGAGACCGTGTCAACACTCCTTTGCGACACCGTCACCATAGCAACGCAACGTGTAGCCACACGCCTCAGCAACACGAAGAGTACCAGCTATAACAGAAGTGACTTAGCAACATAAGAGTCAGTCAGCACGGAGCTCTGGTCGCAAACGCGCAGATACCAGTGAATAGCGCATGACTTGTAAATAAGCAACTATACAAGGCTTGGCGGTTCAAAGGTAGAGCGCCGCCACTCCACCGTCCACCGTGAAATCGTGTGGCGTATGACTCCCTGTGAATGCCTATTGCCTTGTATGTTGCCAGCAACGTTTCTTTGTCTTTTCCCCAAGTACTGCCGGTTGGCGACTTGAAGACCATGTTGCGGCTCTGTACTTTGTTCACAATAGCGGTTGCGTTCGTAGAGAAAAAAATCAGGCTGTCGAAGGTTACTCCGAGTATTTTGGGGTTATTCACCGTCGGAATTGGTGTATCATCGACGTGAATTCTCAGCGGTAGCTTGGCCTCTTTCATCCAGGTGGTGAACAAGGTCGCAGAGGAATTTGTAGGGGAGAGGGTTAGGCTCCTTGCAGGGTAGAAGCGAGAAGGTTCGGAGAGATACCCGTTTACTCTCGAACACAAGTCATCAATTCCATTCCCAGTCGCCAATCATCGAGCAATCGTCAGCGTAAGAGACAATCGAGACTCCCTCTGGTGGTTGAGGGAGCTTTGAAATGTAAAAGTTAAACAGTAGCGGGGAAAGGACACCACACTGTGGAACCCCCTGTTTTATTTTTCTGAGTTTGCTCGATTTGTTTCTAAACATTACCGACGAGTGTCGACCACTCAGATAATTCGCCGACCACCGTTTGAGCATCTGTTGGAGAGGGGAAGCCTCCATATCTTATAGAAGCGTGGAGTGGCTGACGGTGTCAAACGCCTTTGACAGGTCCAACGCTACTAGAATAGTTCTCTCACAGGGACGGTTGCGGTTAAGGCCACGAGTTATCCGAGTGTTTATGGCGTTAAGTGCTGTTTTTGTTCTGTGCACTTTACGGAAACCATGCTGATGCTTCGCTGGGGTCAGTTGGTTCGTGAAATACGGGAGCAGCAAGACCTCTAGTGTCTTCGCTACCGGGGAAGGAGTATTATCGGCCGATAAGGTTCTCCTTTGTTGGCTGGTTTCTCCGGTTTGAGCAGTGGTACCACTCTCCCCACCTTCCAGATGTCTGGGATGATGAAATTGAGCCATTGACATATTGAGGCCTGAGGATGCAGTATGAACTGCCGGCTAAAATAGCTCGCGCATCGCTCCGGGTCCGACGAAGCATGGACAGAAATTTCGACCCTGTCTTCGTGCTTCGTCGGATTGGACAGTGACCTCACGGTTGACCACACCAGAGGTGAAGTTGCATGTCTTCAGATGCTCTTCCCACTTTTTCCGCTTATGTACGTTCACAGGCTGCCGAATCTCCGCGTTGAGATGCCTAATATGGGGATTTCCGGGATCGGCCTGACGAAGGTTGTCACGCTCATCGGCTAGAACAGCCGCTTAAGCAGGGAAGTTTGGACGGGGGTCCGTAATGCATCCTGCCATTACGAAGCGAGCTGCAGCAGCAGTGACAACCCTGCGGAACTTACGTTCCCCAAGCTGCTCTCAGTAAATTCCGCTAAGCCTTTACAATCAGCTTTAGAAAAGTTGATATAGGTCCGGTTTTCGCGGAAGCAAGGTCGGTTGGTTTATCGATCGAGATGACTATGGGCATATGGTCTGATGCCAAAGTCAGCATAGGTCGCCATGATACGATGTTTGTAAGACCAGCGCTGACTATTGTTATGTCTGGCGCGCTGCAGCAGCTGCCCATAATCCTGGTGTGTGCATCGTCGTTCATTGTGCAGAATGTCGAATATCTATCTGTTCCCCTACGAGCGTTTGACAGGCTTGAGTGCCAAAGATCGTGGAGCGCATTAAAGTCACCTACTACCATACGGTTTTCTCCTCTGAGGTGCGCGCCTATATCAGGGTGATATCCTGCGGGTACCAAGTGATAGAGGGTATGTACACGTTAAAGATTTCGAGCTTAACATCGCCTTACCGGATAGCATAGCACTGACATTCTAGGGTGGTATCCTTGCGCCACAATTCGACAATGTTGAATTGCTGTGCAGCTTCGTCTCTTGGACCGCATCTATCAATATACCATGCCATCCCATGAAGACGGTTATCTCCTCGATCTTGCTCTGAAGTCCGTTACAGTTAAATTGGGGGAGCTTCATGTGGTTCGCGATACGTGTTGTTATGCGGGGGGTTAGGGATGTGTGTGGCCTTGGCGCTGTGCAGGTTGCCGCCCTGTGGTGGTAGTGGGTGGCGTCGCAATTGGCGTTTGCGACCGAGCGGCGCAACACGGGCCCTCGAGGTTACTCGTCCAATCTCGCGTGGTGCGCGGACCTGAACATGCCCTACAGTGGCACCAGCCAAGGCAGGTGTTGCATTTGACTGATGTCACGTTACGGAATATCCTGGTCGGGCATAACGTCCAGATTGTAGGAGAACCAGGAGTTGTTGGCTGGGGCGTGTGGGTGGTGGTGCGGTTGTGTATGTTCTGTGGTCTGTCGTGGTTGTGGTGTGGTCTATTGTGTTGTTATGTTGTGGTGCTGTGGAGTTTGTGTGGAGTTGCTCAGGTGGACTGGGGTTAGCCGTGGAGGCTGCTCTGTTTGAGCAGCAGGTGGCCACAAATGAGTGGTCCACTTCCGATGGGTCCGTAGTCCTGAGCAGACTCTGAGGTGACTCCACCCGTCACAAGCATTGCACTTGACTGAGGTGGAGTTTTCGTGTAGTCGTCTCTGGCATATACAGCAGTTGTAGGTTTCTGGCCCTGGGTTGGACTCGATGCCAGCCCTGAGCAGAATAATGCGTAGCAGATGTAGCCCTACGGGCGAACAACTTCTGAGATACTTCGCCGACCTAAACGGGGCTAGATCGCCGAAACAACAGCCCTTGGTCGGGTAAAACACGAGTCATTCCGGCACGTAGAACCGGTTGTCGTGGGAATGACGCTGTTATAGTCGTTGTTGTTGGTGGTGTAGGGGCAGGCGTTCGTGAGGGCTAAATTCCGCGGATATTTAAAGCGCTAACAGTCAACGACGTAGCGTAGACTTGGGTTGACGCAGATACGATCTACCGTATGGGATTCGCGTGTTTACGATAACTCACCACCGCATACCGGTGACGTTGCCGTTGCCATTGCTTCTCTCTCTATCAACAGTAAATTTGATATGCTGCTACGTACGTCACCGTACACAGGACTCACAGGACTAAGCAACTTTGCACTCTATACTAGCAAAATGTAAAATTCAATGTTCGATTACTTGAATATTTTCCCGATATGGGTTAAAGAACTTATATTTGTAAGGGTCTGCTCCCTGCCAAAACTGCCAGTGCTTGTAATAAAATCTTTAGCTCTTTCTACTCTATTAAGCCTAGTTAAATTTATTTCGCAATTCAAGAAGGCAATGCATTAAATTTTTCTGCATGTTAATGATAGTGCCTTTCTTATGACTATACAAATCATTTTATGAAAACTTACAGAAATGTGTGCGTATTCTTTGTATTTTAGAAAATAATATTTCCTGGTCATATATTCGTTGGGTCGCAAATAAATCCATCACAGCATATGCCTATTATGAAGGTTAGTATTTAAAGAATAATGTAAAACTTGAAACGCACCTAAGGGTGCGAATACACCAAGCGGTGCCGAGCCGAGTGCAGCAAGGCGGAGAGAAGCAAGAGTACGGGTGTTCACACTGAACGGATCTTTTTCCTTGGAAATATACCAAATAGATTTCGCTTTAAAATATTTATCGGAATTTTTATTTATTTTTTCATTAGCACAGCAGCGTCATGGCGTTGAAAAATAAAATAAAAAATACAAATCAAAAGTAGCTTTGCTTTAGTTAAAGCAATTTGATGAAATCTTCTCTCCGCTTGTAACTTCTCCACTTGGTTTGGGACCGCTTCTTGTGTGCACGTACATTGAGCTGGAATCTAGCCAAGTTTAGAAAACATGTGTAAGGAATAAAAAAAAACTATTTATAATTTTCAGTTAAATTTTCGTTATAATTTTAACGTAGTAACGTTTTCATCAGAAATTATATTTGGCCTGATTCCAGTTATATTTAAAACTTTTCTAGAAAAACAACAATATGCAATTTAAGTGAGTAGTACTTACAACTCTGTTAAACACAGGATTAAGATACAACGAAACAACCGCAACAATCACACGATCAAGTTTAACCCTCTTGTTGGTATAACCGCCGCTTAATAGGCTATATTTGCTTTGTAAGTTATTAATACCTTATTTTCCTTGATTATTTGCTTCATACTAAATATTATGTAAATAAATTTTGTAGCAACAATTGTCGGCCGACAATTTTCTTTGAAAAGTGGCTGCAATTTGCACAAGAAAAAAAACTTTTGCAGGAAGTGAATTTGTTTACTAAGGTGTGGTTCCATGTGCAGAAGTGGATAGCTTTTGACTGCCATTCCCCTGGTCGCGGCCAGAAGTGATTCTTGTGCGTACGGTTCAAATCGAAGCTCACACCGTCCGGATATTTATATCCACGTATCCTCTGGGTAGCGCCCAAACACCGGTTTGGGAGAAAGCTGAAGTGAGAAAGCGATGCCCTCGGGAAGACTAAGGCTGACATCACCGCCATCCAAGAAATGCGATGGACGCGGCAAGAGAAGGTAGGCGTGGAGCATTTCGACGTCTACTACAGTTGCCACGTAAAGGATCACAAATTCGGTGGTGGATTTGAGGTGGGAGAGAGACTTCGTCGCCGTGTACTGGCGTACACCCCGGTGGACGAACATCTATCCACAATCCGCATCACAGCGAGATTATTCAACATCTCGCTCATCTGCGTCCATGCTCCGGCGGAAGAGAATGACGAGGCGTCCAAGGATCTCTTCTATGAGCGCTTGGAAAGAACGTATGAGCGCTGCCCCCGACACGATATAAGAATCGTGCTTGGCGATTTCAATGCCAAGGTGGGCAAGGAAGGGATGTTGTTGTTGTAGCGGCACTACTAAGCCCCGCCTATTCGGTTCTTTCTTCAATCATTGTCGTCAAACTCAACCAACGGTAGGCCTAGGAAAGGGGTTGTTTCAACAAGGTCCTGCCAAAGGGAGAGGGGTGTCAGCTGAGTAGGATTGAGCTGGCAAGTGAATACGTGGTTGGTGTCGTGCGGAGAGTGTCCACATGCCGGACCCTCATTGCGGATATTGGGGTTGAGTCTGGACAGGTAGTTTTTGAGGCGGCTACAGTATCCAACCGTAAGTGTTAGGCTCCGTGTAGTAAAGAAGCGAGAAAGGCTATTCCCAGGCGCCAATATCGAGCAGTCGTCAGCATATGAGATCAGGGAAACTCCCTCAGGTGGCGGGGGAGCTTCGAGATGTAGAAGTTAAACAGTAAGGGGGAGAGAACACCACCTTGTGAAACCCCTTCTTTTATTCTTCTAGGTTTGGAGGTTTGATCTCTGGCGACTGTCGACCACTCATACAATTCGCCGACCACCGTTTTGAGTCCCTGAGGGAGAGAGGAGACCACAGTGTCTTCTAGCGGCGTGGAATAGCAGACGGTGTCAAACGTCTTTGACAAGTCCAACGCTACTAGGACCGGCTGCAGTTGAGGCCACGAGTTGTTTGGGTGTTTATAGCATTAAGTGCTTTTGTTGTGCTGTGCCCTTTAGGAAGCCATGCTTATGCTTCGCTGGGGTCAGGTGGTAGGTGAATTACGGGAGTAGGAGGACTTCTAGTGTCTTCGCGACCGGGGAGAGGAGCGTTATCGGGCGCTAAGAGTCTCCATTGTCGGCCAGTTTACCCGGTTTCAGCAGTAGGGCCACTACCTGATTTTCACATATCAGCGATGATGAGAGTGACCATGGATAGGTTGAGGACCTCCGTTAGGTATGCTACTCCCGCGGGCCTTAACTGTTTCAGCATCAGCATATAGATTCCGTCGGGTGCAATGGCTTTGGAGACTTTCGCCGCTGGTAAAAACAATTGGTGCACTGATTTTAGGCAGTTTGCGCAGTCTCCTCGCCACTAAAATAGCTCGCGCATTTCTTCAGGTCCGACGAGGCGCGACCTTCGAATGAAATATCCACTCTGTCGTCGCGCTTCGTTAGGTTGGACAAGGACTTCACGGTAGACTAGAGCTTACTGATACCAGAGGCGAAGTTACAGGACTTCTAGTGCTCTTCCCACTTTTTCCGCTTGTGTTGATTTACCAGTTGCCGAATCTCCAAATTAAGGTCCTTCAAGCGAGGATCGCCGGGATCGACCTGGCGTACGTGGCCACGTTCATTTGCTAGTACAGCTGCTTCAGCCGGGAAATTTGGGCGGACTTCCGCGATGCGTCCGGATGGTATGAAGCGAGCCGCTGCGGCAGTGACTACCCTGCGGAACTAGCGTTCGCCAGCGTGTGCGTCTGAGGGTGTGGGAATGGCGGCGAAGCTGCTCTCAGTAACTTCCGCGAAGCCGCTCCAATCAGCTTTGTTAGTATAGGTTCGGTGGTCTGCGGGTGCAAAGTCGGTGGGCTTATTGATCGATATGATTGTGGGCAGATGGTCTGATGCCAGTGCAGCATATGTCGCCAGGATGTGCTATTTATCAGACCAGCGTTAGAAATTGTTAGGTTTTGCGAGCACCTGCATCTGTCCACAATGCTGGTGGGGGCGTCGTCGTTCATGGTGCAGAATGCCGAATCGTATATCTGCTCAGCCAATAGGTGTCCCCTACGATCATTTGCCAAGCTTAAGTGCCTTTGGGATCTTTGGCACCACTGTCGGAAAATTCAGCCTCAACGACAAAACGTCCGATAACGGACTGAGGCTGATCGACTTCGCCGGGGACTGAAACATAGCAATTTGTAGTACTATGTTCCAGTATAAGAAGAGCAACCAAATCGGCCATGTTGTGATCACATGGCATGCTTCCAGTGCTTTAGACGTACGTACACTCTGTAACGCAAGCCCAAAAGGTTGAGTGCAACATCCACTGCCACAATGTGTCTCTACAAGTACCTCAACATGTTTATAGACATTGTAGACAACTTGTGTGATAAGGACCAATATGAATGTTTGCTTGAGTTGATTTGTGTTTATGTGAATGTAGTGAAAGTCCGCTGTGAGTATGCATGCATGTGTGAATGAGCGAAATGCGGAAAGAAATTTCAGCAAACAGCTAGGGCACGATTACTGGCGATCTTCAGACAAAAATTAGATAGAAAGGTGCCATTAAAATGTTTAGACGCAAAAAATCCGTGAAATTAATATTTATAGAAAGTGGAACTTAGAAAATCTGTAATAATATTGGTTTGCTCCGTTAAGAAAAAAAGCGGCACTGTTACATGCCACAGGAGGTGAGTCATATGCATTTTTAATAAAGTTAAAGAAATTGATGTAAAATCCAAACCAACTAAAATGCGTGTGTGTGTATACACCAAAGCGTCTGAGTTACAAGTGTAACTGAAGATATCCCTTGAAATACTTGTATTCACACGATAAAATCACATAAACTAAAGGCCTTATTCTGTATCACGAACGATAGGCAAAACGAACGATTCATCTGCACACGACAACCTCTCTGATTGCGATTTTGAACTCTATCGGTCGTCTTCGTCTCGCTTTTCATACTTTACGTTGCAATGGTCTCGGTTGCGTTTAAACCGGCTAAACTGATGCCGAGGGACTGATTTTTGAAGCATTCCTCTACAGACGAATCGTTCGTGATACAGAATAATGCTTTAAAGTTGAATAAAATGAAATTGAATAAAATTAAATCAAATAAATTGAATTAGAAAAGCTAAAAGAACGTAAAATAAACTAAAATTCTAACTAAATATATTCAAATTAACGTAAAATAAAATGAAAGAGAGACTAAATTTTTATAAATAAACTAAAGTAAGATTAAATCAAATTAAAGTAAAACTATAATGTGATAAAAGTATCTAAAACACATAAAATAAACTAGAAGTCAAATATAAACGAATACACATACCAGCAGCACTACAGTGAACATACATACACACGCAATATAAATGGCATGCAGCTATGCATAACATACATATGTACACATATATACATATATAACTATAATAAATGAGTAGAATCTACAGATCCTATAATTATAAAATAAATAAATCAAGACAATGTAGTGACGCTAGATATACCTTACAGGTCCCCGCTGGGCAAGGGTTACGTCAGGGCCTTAGAAATTAAAACCGAAAAAAGCGGAGATACGTCTTTCTCCAGTCACCCAACAACCCATACATATGTGGCAATACAGGATAGAGAGCAATAGAGGATAGAGAAAAATTTGGAGACTTGCGAAGTAAATACAGAAGGAGAAGGAGAAGGGCAAGGTGCACACTTACATACATACATACATCAGGAGAGCGGATTTGATTTTATTTCTTCACTGATGTATGTTCTTATGCCTTGTTTTCTTGATTTGGGTTTTTGCGTAATTATTATTATTTTTTGCTTTGCATAATTAGAACACTTTTTGTGTTTGGATTCACGCTTTTAGTAGTTTTTATATAACTAGTATATTGCGAAGGACGAAGGCCGGATTTTCCTTTTGTTTATTAATTTATGGATTTTTTTGTTTAATACCTTTTTATAC